ACAGGTCAGGGCTGCAGCACAAATCCTGCAGTCAAGCACTGAACGAACTTTTGTTTTCTGCCTCTTTGTGTTGATGGACAGTTGCAGGATTTATGACTACACACCTCCCACATCTGCCAATTATCACAAACGCTCGATTGCACTACTTGCTGCAAAGGGTGGCACAAGCAGTTTTAGAGGGAAATTACTTTTTCACAGAGGGGCAGGTGTGGATAGCTTTTCTCCCGTAATGAATGAAATGATCATTGGAATACTTCATTTTGAATTTATTCAGGTTCTCTTTGTCTAATATTACTATGACAAAAATGCAAAAATTAGAAATCAGGAAGGGGGCAAATACTCAAACAATACTGTATTTTTGTAAGTTTAAAAGGATCCTTTAAAACAGTACTTTATTATACTTTAAGTTCTCTTGACATTAGGCTGAAATCGCTGCCAATTCTTCATTTTATTGTCAAGTAAATGATCAAATAATTAATACAGTTATAATTACAATGAATTTACTAATGTGCTTATGTAATTATTAATTCATGAAATTGTCCTATTTTTATATCCACGACTGTTACGCTGTGGGAGTGAGAACGTGTTGGATCTCTAACAGTTCCTCACTCTAACTGTAGTACTTTGTAATACAATTACAAAGTATGTGTTTTACTCCAGGATAATGATAACAAGAAAGACGAGCTACATTTTCACTTGTTTGAAATAATTAGTTCATTCATAGGAAGGTCATAAGGGAGGAGGCGATACAGGAGGTTGTGACTTTAGGTTACAGTGTGCGCGATACTTTGTTTGGTTTTTACACTTGGCAGGTAAAATATTTCAGTTTGAATGACATTCACACAATCTTATAAAAATCCTTTTATTTAAAACTTTAAATAACATCACAATGTCGTGTTTAAAATGTTTTCATATTTCAGGTTTTTTTTGTGTGGAATTCCTAGTTGTTGTTTTATTTCCCCCCCCTTAAGCTCTTAACAATGTGGAGTTAAGTGCAAAACAGCTGTAGCAATGTGAATATATGTATTTAATAGCTTGTTCATTGTGGCCTGTATTTCATAGGAATAATTCACAGCTCTTCTGTAATGGAGTCATATGTCTTCTAATCAGAAGCCTCAATGTATAGAAATAATATTATTTGTGTTAACATTTGTCTACCTTTATTACAATGCATGTACGCCAATAAAATGGAGAATGGTGTAAAAATATCCTCCTATAACACTTATAAAAATGTTTTCAATGTGTAACAGACTGCAGACTAGAGAGCATTGTTTACTCTATTCTATTGTTAAGCTGCAGTTTGGGTTCTGCTGCTTAATCTCATGGAGTCTCTTCTTTAGTTTTTCTGCCATGGAGTTAAGATCTGAAGCTGTTAGCATGTCGGGAATCTTCCTCAGCTTTTCCTCTGGAGCCTTTGCCAGCCAGTCTATGATGTGATCCATGAGAGGCTCTCTCTGTTTGGGGAGACTGCACCTCTCTTCTGACGAGGTAAGAATGTATCTGTTGCAGTGAGAAAATGGTTTAATTGGCATCTTTTTTTAATTTAGAGGTGAAGGAGTGCTGGAGAATAATCAAACAGACAAAGAGTGTGCTCACTTGGAAACAAACTTCTTGATTTTTCCTACACGCATCCTGTGTGCATGGAAGAATCCTGAGAGGAATGTCCTGAGAGTCTCACCTGAGAAAGTTTGAAATAACTTTGTAAATTTGGTTGCATTAAAAAATATTTTGTTTTTGGCAGATAACATTAATAACATACCTCCGTTTGCAAGACTCTCACAGGTGCCACACACGGTGTCAGAATAGGCTGAGCCAGTGAGGAGTACGCTCTGCCCGCTGGAGCACTCCTGATGTTTTACACACAAATCCACCGCAGAAGATGAGCTGGAAAAATATCCCTCTGGACACTTTTCACAAACGGTGTTTGTCTGCTGTGTACCTAAGAGAGGACAGCAGAGGACTTCAGGTCACTACATTCATTGGAAGTGTAAAGTGAGTTAGACATCCTGATGTTTTGGATAAACAGAAGAAGATGGATGGATGGTTTAGCAGTTCATATTTAATAAATGAATACTGTACCTTTAGTTTGAACCCCGTATCCGGGGCCACACTCTGTGTGCCGGATACAGAAGTCATCAGCCGAGTAAAAGCCTTCTTTGCACCGACAGATCCTGTTGGTTGTCGGGGAGCACTCTGTTTCCACCTCCAGGTTACCTGTGCAAAGGTTGTTGCAGTACAGACACCTGGGCAGGTAGTTCCACAGATCGGTGAAGTGGCCATTTTTGCACGGCTGACACTGTGTGGGTGTGGTGGCAGTGCAATATGCAGACATGAACATGCCCGGTGGACACTTGGGACATTTGAGGATTTCTCCGGTTACCGGGTCTCGGTGGTCAAAGGTGGGAACAGGATGCACCACTGAGGCACCACAGAGTGAACCAGAGAGCAGGAACAGCGCTGGCACGATAAGCTGTAGAGAGAGACGACACCTGATTATAAGTGCTGAAAATACCTCAGAACATGTGATTTGCTATGCCTGTGAGTTATAGCTCCCTCATCCTGTAGCTCTAAAATTTCACCTAAAGTAGTGGAAATATTTACTAGGTTAAATTGCACAACTTGAAACCGCAAGTCAAAAACAATAAAACAGGAACATGCATAAAAAATATGGAAGCATTTGTTTATTTTTAATCCTCTCAAATTAGCTGCGTTTTGTTTTTAAGTTACCTCTTGTCTGATCTGACCTGATATTTAGCTTCTACACTGACTTTTCAGGGGCCAGAATGAAACTAACAAGAGGAAACCTCTTTAACCTCAGTGCAGCATCTAATGGATAAACCATCTGTACACTGTAAGCACAAAAGAGTCCACTGTGGCAAACTTCCTCTACAAATCATTGATAAAAGTGATTTAAGTATTTAACTATTTCGCGTCACATAATCAAATGTAATTAAACATAAATGCATATCTCTGTTTATTCTTTTTCTATTGTAAAATATTTCCCCATTTCTTGAATTTGCATACTGTGTAAAATAAATATAAACGAGTTTTAAATTTTTTGAAATGTGAACCTATCACCTATTCCCGTTTTAAGCTCTATAGTTGTGTCAAATACTCACCATGTTCATGATGGGATGTCTGTCAAAGAGGATTTGACAGCACTCGCCTTTTATAGGAACCCTTCCTGCGTGGGTGATGTGGTTTGTCTAATCAGCTGTAAACTTCATCTTAAAGGTCAAACTACTTCTGTGTAGTAAAGCAATGTTATTAAAAAAAGAAACTGTCAGAAAATGGAAGGAAGTATTTGGAGTAATGTGTGATTTAGTTTCACTCGCTGCCTGTTGCTAACTTTGCATGTGTCATCTTAATCAAGTGTTGTGACAGAGTTTTTTGGTTCCTCCTTGTCTGATAGAAATAATTCACATTTAAGCTCATTATCAGATTTTACCAACTTGTTGCTGGGAGGCCACTGATATGAGATTACATGAATAGAGCATATAGTTTGCTGTTTACTCTTAAAAGACCTTAAATCTTCTGTAAAGTGTAGGGTCAAATATACAGTGGCTTGCAAAAGTATTCGCCCCCCTTGAACTTTTCCACATTTTGTCACATTACAGCCACAAACATCAATCAGTTTTATTGGAGTTCCACGTGAAATGCATGATTACTTTGTAATGTCATTGAATACACAGTAGGTTGTGTAATATTGTATTCAAAAGTCCAAAGCTTGCAAAGCTTCTTTCATTTGTGGGAATTTGATGAATATAATTTATAGCGAAATAAAGAAGTCTACAATGTTACAGTAATATATCTTATCACACATGAGTCACAGGTTTTTGAGAAATATCTGCCTTTGCACAACTTGAAAAACTTCTAAACTTTCAGGGAAATGTGTCTGTGCTGTCATTTGCATATGATGTGCGGGTTAATACAAATTTTTGATCTTTTTTTTTTACCGCCTGGTTCTTGAAGCAGGCAAAATCATACGTCACTATGTGAGTCCCCCTTTTAATTTGCAGAATATGTCAGTGAGTCACTGATTGGGGTTTACAGTCTGATGAATTAGCAAAACGAACTGGTCAGTGAGTCACAGCAGGATCTTCATTTCTCTGTTCTCTTCCTGTTTCCACAGAATATGAGCATGACTCAACTGTGGTAGGATGTGTTTCACTGTACTTGTTCATTGTATTTAATAGGTTAATTTGACCAATTTGTGCATTTGATTTATATATATAAAAAAAATAAGATTTCGCAAAAGTTTTAGACGCATTCTTCGGAGGCCGCCTGCTCGAAGCCGACCGGGAGGTCGAGGCACGATGTGCCGGGAGAGCGGTGTTCCTCCTGGCTGTAGTAGGTCTCGACCTCCCATTAGCTTCGAGATGGTGGGTGTCAGACATCTCCGAAAACGTCGGAGCACTTTTGCAAATATGTGATGTCTTGTAAACCGAGCAGATATTTGACGTTTACACAAATTCACGCCTCAAAATATCTTAAAAGTTTATTTTGTGACCCAAAAAGAGTAATATTACAACTAAGTAGCTGCCACCATTGTTGGAATTCAACTTTTGCGAGATGTCGCAAAAGTTTTGCGAGATCCCGAGTTTGTTTTGCGAGATCTCGCATTTTTTTCTCCCATGTCCCTTGCGGGGCTCCGTAGTAAGGAGTAAGTAAGGAGCAGGCTCAATAAAAGTCCTCACAGCAGGCATCCTGTGCACGCTGAAGAATCCTGAAAGGAATGTCACGGAGGTCTCCCTGAGAAAGTTCCAACAAAATTTGAATCCACAAACTAGAAACACACCTACACACACCTTTTAGACTCCCACAGGTGACACACGCAGAGCAGGTAGTTCCACAGGTATTGGGCACTTCTGCATGGCTCGCACTCTCTGTACACAGTGATGATGCAGTAATTGCACACTCGGAGCCTGTGAGTGTTTCTGTGGTTAATGGGTCTTGGTGCTCATAGATGGGATCAGAGTCCTCCACCCTGATGCAGCAGATCTCACCAGAGAGCAGGAACGGCACTAGTACAGAAAGCTGTGGAGACGAACAGTACCTGCTGATAAGTGTAGCTCATATTCTACAGTTGTAATTTAGTATAACTATACTTATAGGCATCTAATTATAAGATTCTGTAGTAGTAATACCTCGATAGAGTAGATGGTGTTTTTTTCCTTCGTCTCATAATGATCATCGTCTTGCATTGATGGCGATCCTGCTGAGGTCTGTATCCAGTCTGACTCAGAAAGGCTTGAATTCTGAATTTTAAATAGGGGCAGGAATTTTCACTGGGAATAACTGGAAATAAGATCTAGGATATTAAAATCAGCAGCAGGTGTCTCCTCCCTATTTGATCCTCCCGAATCTCCAACATTTAAAGTGCTGACGGTTTAGGAACCAGCTGGTTTGGTGTGACTAACTTACAGCATCTCCCTTAAGCTCCTAACGACCAAGGATCCATTAATGCAGTGTTTCTTGTTTCCTGTGTGATGCTGTAAAACAAATGAAACTTGAGTTTTTCACTCAATCCTCAAGTGCGCTGTTTATTTTGGGATGGGCTGATAAGGAGTTTGAGGAAAAAGGTTCAAAATGATCCTTTAGAGTGGTTTCCTTAGCTTGCATCGACAACTGATAGGCACGATGAGTCTATCATGTGCACACTTTACAGCCTGCAATAAAATGTCACATTTACTGCTTTGTCGGTGCAGGAAATGCTTTGTGCCCACAAGTATGACCTACATTTATCAAATGTCCTTTATTTCTTAGGTTCTAACTGACTTTGTATTGCACGATTCATGGTCCTAATTTAGTTCTTTAAATTATTATTGCAAACATGCCAGAATCCACAGTTTAAAAATGCTGTGTAGTCTAAAAAATGCAAATGATACCATATTTAAATGTGCTAATTTTCATATCCTTTTTCAGTTCTTCCGATGTGACCATATGACTTTTTTTTTTAGTTGAGTAGCACTTATTGTGAGTCCTTTTAAGATGTTATGTATTGTGCTGGCTTTGCGGAATTTACACGAGGCACACAAGGTTTAGAAGATTGCGTAGGTGTGTCGACTCAAAATCAGGTCAACCTTTCAGTCACATGCTGAAAACTGGCACTCGCTCATGTGAAATATGGGTTTCAAAACCAGATGATCTGAAATGTGACACATCCTCTGTGCGTAATTCAGAACGTATCCTGACCATAAAAGGTTTTTGCACTCTTCACTTCTATGCCATTCGATCACTGAGTTCTTAAGTTCTCGCCACTACAGAAAAATGATACTGCCTGTGAGATATACATGAAATAAGCATCAAGTTACGATTATAGTACACATTACATGCACCGTGATCCTTTAACTTCAGACATTTGACCCACCATGAAACGTCAGCTGCACTTTCATACTTAGAGAAATCATCAAGGCCTATATCCAAATGTAACTGCAGTGCCTCTGTTTCTAATCCTGGCAGGCTTCATGTGCACTTTGGTGTAAATGGAAGCTACACTGACATCTTGGAAAAGCTGATCTAATGTAGGTGACTCACATCAAAGTGGCTCTGTCAGGAAACTCACTGTACGCCTTGATCGCTAAGCTGGGGAAGACCAAATTCTTCTTAGTCAAGAGATCAGAAGTACAGATTGTTTGATCCAGTCAGCCATTCAGTCCCCTTCTATCTCAGGGAAGCCACCCTTGGAGGATTTTAAAACTAAAAGCATTCAATATAGTTGATTTACCAGAAAACAATGTTTTTTTGGGGGGGGTTTCTCCTAAATTTAACACTGCTATGAAATCACAAGACTAAAACCGTCTGTCTGTTCATTGCATATTTATAATGAAACAATACATCTTTACACACTGAATTTAGTCAGATCATTTGTTATCAATGTTCACAACTTAAACAAGCTTAAAAAGGACCAGTCAGGCACATATACAACAAAGGTCATACACTTATAGTAAAAACGCGATACAACAAAAATATAAAACAAATATCACTTCATTAACTTGCAGCATTTGGAATCCAGTATTTCTAAGAAGTAATAAACATAAGCCTTTACATGTTCAGAAAGTAAAACTTAGTTTTTTAAATAGAAAACAATTGCACTCCTTTGTACATTCATATAAGTAACAACTACAAAATAATAACGATGAGCTTTGCTTGTCAGCAGTTCAGAACAAACACACCAACAAATGAGAAAAAAAATATTTCATTATGAAACCAAATCCTTCCTCTCAAACAGCGAGAAAGCAACAATAACAACATCTGCCGGACCATTTTCTATAAAATAGTATTAATATTTACATCTTAAATAACATTTTTTTTAATTTTTCACAGACTCCAGTCATGAAGTTCTAAAAAATCTTTTTATTTTTTTCAAAAACCTTTTGTTTTACATCCGTATTCAGTACACAGATGTGTGAACACCTCTTTTTTTTTTTTGTCAGATTCTTCCTTGCGGACGGTTACCGTGGACTGAGGGTGAAGTTATTAGTGCCTCGTTTAGGTTAGAAAAAAATCAGAAAAGGAAAGACTAATTTATTTTTCCATCTTTCCTTCCATGTTAAAGTTAGGAAAACCCATTTTTAGACAGTATATGCATAGCTTTGATATTATAAAGACCTCTCACTACTACAAAAAAAATGCACCTCCCTGCTCATTGTGTATCGTTTTAGTGTTCCCTTTTTTGTCAGTGAAATAGTGTTTATTTATGCTTTAGGTTGTATCTATTTCTATTTGTACCTGTGTACTGCTTATTCATTTAATGGTTTATGGGCTTTAAAACACGATCCATCCTGAAGCATACTGACAAACGTCTTCTGAAACATCTTTTGTGCCGAGGTGGTTCCAATGATGCGGCTAATCTTCTTCAGGCCTTTGAGCAGATGACGTGGTGCCTGTTGGTTGCGCAGGACCCTGAGACTGTGAGACAGAGCATTTGGTAGGTCCAGGTTGTGGTTTGCTTTTTTCCAGAGGTGAAGAAGCTGCAGAATGTACTGCCTGGGGAGGCAAGAAGAGACCACGGCCTGGACATCCGCCTCCTTAACTTTCACTCCCGGCAAGCTGTTTGTTACCTTCATGAGGTCGTCGAGAGTCAGGTTTTTTAGACTGCTGCAGCGGGAGACCTTCCTCTCACAGTGGTTCACACCTTCAAATAAAGTATGTTTACATTAGTATACCAATGCAAAAATTTAAATAGCAAACAGATAGCATGGGAGCACAACACTCCAGTTTGTGCTGGTGCAGCATTTTTGTAAATCTTATTTTATACCTTGTATGAAGCCATACAGCTTGTCCTGGTCTTTGTTCTGCTCTCTCCACAGTCGCAGAAGGTGGAGAACCTGCTGCTGGGGAGAGCAGGTCTTCTTCAGCCTCTCCAGGCTCTTGCGATCCACCCTCTTCCCAGGAAGACTGTCCAACAGTCGTTCCAGGGGCACCGAGGAAAGTCGCAGCGAGGCTAGCGACTGGAAAACCGCCTCTTCACAAAGAGTCACATCTGGAAAGAGAAGCAAAGTGGGCTTGAAAACACACACATGCACAAAAGTTCTGGATAGTGATGCTTGACATCCATTTGCTTAAACCAGAAGGAATTAACATATGTAACATTTGTAACAACCTGTTACAAATGAGTAAATGTTCACAAGTAATAAAACAACTTTAGTAAATTCCAAACCATTGGCCGTATGTATTCCAGTATGACAAGCGGGCTGGTAGAGTGACACCTGCCCAAACATGGCCCAGCTTTTAGTACAGTGCTTGACATGTTAGTGCGATCAGCTATGCTAAACATATTTATGTCTTTTAGATCTTTTATTTTTCTCCCCTTGTTTAAATCGGTATCTGTAGATAATGCCAAACTAACCTTAGAGGTTCCCACCTAAGTCCCAATTGCAGATTTGTGGAGCGATTCCACGACAGTTTGTGGTGGCACATTACCGCATGTTTGCACACTTTAAATAGACATCGCTGTGTAACTGACATTACACACTATGTTTACTGACGTAACAGTTTCACTATGTTTTGCTTATTCATCTGTGTCACTGCAACTCTTCAACCATAAAATCAACAGCAAAGACTCCATAGTCTCCACTTTAATAACCTCAATCTGCAAGTGATGACTGGGAATCTGGGATAACAACATAAAGTAACTTTCTTTTCTTTTCTTTTTGTTCCTAATTGAAGGCAGTTTAAAATGAGATATAACGGGATTTAACACATGTTATTTCATCAGTTTACTTCTGCATATTTTTTCGTGTTTGCATGTGTTTTGCCTATGTTTAGTGTTGCCTTGTAATTTGACCACGGGAGAACCACAGATGTATTTTATTTCTGTTCCTCATTGGGATCACTCCTACTAGCCGAGCCAAACTGCAGCCAAGCCTGTTGCCCTACATTTTTTAAGGCAGCCAAGCGAACATTCTTCTTCCTGCTTTCGCTGAGGACACTCCCAACCGGACACACTTCATATGATGTGCAATTTCACATCCTTTTTATTAAAGATGATGTGAAATTACACCAAATTTCATGTTTCATGTTGATCATTTCAGTAATTTATGAGTGATGTAATTGCGGCTCGCACCACAACTAACAGTGACTTCCTGGTGGCTTAATACCGACTTTGGGAATCCCAACTGCTTTCAATTTTACATTTTTTGCTCAGAAACACAGCTAAGCTGTTCCAGGATTTGAAGCAGGCACTCTGCGGTGGTGTAGTTACCAGGAAGGCAATTTGTGAATGAATGTTTGAGGAGAGCATCACCCTCCCAGAGGGACCACAGCTTTGTGTGTTTTCGTCTAAGTGTGGCATATGAGTGCGCCAGGGTCTGTACATCTGCATGTGTGTGTTCTCCAGTGTCTGTGGTTTCTCACGGTCTGGGAATTTAGTGTCATACTTGCGGCTTCTCATCTCAAATTATCCTTCAGCATCTGTCACAGTCAAAGTCTGAGTAACAAAGAGCAACCAGCGTGCCTTGCGTCTCCTTTGACTCAGTTTCCTCTGTTATTGTGTTTGGGGATGTGACAGTTAAAGGGGGTAATTGATCCATCATGGGTCTTTTTGACAACAATGCCATAAACATCCAGCGTTCAACCCTTTGGTTTTCACTGCTGTGTTGGTTTTAAGGCACGCAAGAATTTGCAAAAGATTGGAATCTGGACAGCGAACCTGACCGAGGAAATCCCCTGCCTTTAGGGGTGAAAATGGCCACATGTTTGAAATAATTCACTTCAAGTTGATTTTTAAGTTGTTGACAGCTGAGGTTAAGTCAACAACACTGGTCCATGTGTGTGTTGTGTATGGGTGTGTGTTGGATAAACACTGTGCTAATGATCAACCCAGATTCCAGGATCAGTCCTAAAACGTTCCATATGATCTGTCCATGACATGACAGCGCGTATGTTCTCACCAGTCTGGCACAAAGTGTGATGATGAGAGCACTCCAGCGTTGCCTTCTTGTCCGGAGTGCCACACTGGCTGTCTGCAGTGGACGTGCCCCATCTCAGTGTCTTGAGGCCCAATTCTGAGCAGTTCGTGTGAGGCTGGCACGGCTTGGTGGAGGAGCCACCCGGGGAGAAATGACCATCAGGGCAAAGGTCACACACTGTGTCACTCACTGGCGTACCTGGAAGAGATTTACAGAGATAATTTTTGCAAATGAAAACTGATAGAAGTGACACTTCTGAGCATGTGAGAAAGCACCTAACCACAGATTTTTTTTCTCATCTAGAGCTTCAACTGAAACTCAGCCATTTTCACCATTTAGTGCAAAAAGAAGCAGATGTGATTCTAAGAACCGCAGAGACATGTGAAAGCTCATCATACTGAGAGCGTGTTTCAGAGAATGACTCATATCAGTCGTAGTCACTACACCGCCTTCTTTCTGTATCTTACATGCTCTTACTATGATGTCATGTGACTTAGCTGCAATGTGATTTGTCAGCTGATTTTTTTTTGCAGCCAAAGCCACTTCTAATAGTAATACGTAGGCACGTTTTGAGAACTTTATTTTACAGTTGATTTACTATAATATGCTGTGACTTTAAAACTATATTTAGATACGTGACTTTTTTTTTATAATCTCATTTGACAGTTGCCACAATAACATTACAGGAAACCATCACAACTTCTGGTATATGACCATCGGCACGCATGACAGTCCATGAAGTGGAACTACTAATCACATCCTCATTTTATTTTGATCTTGAAGTGAAAGTGCGTGGGACGACAAGCCATGCTTATTTCAGATTTAACCTTTGATTAGTTTCCCGCTACCATGGTACAATGCGTCCTTTCTTGAAAACATATCGTCAAATAGGAAACCATCGCCTTATATGCATACAAAAACAATCGAAAGCGTTTCCTCTGCGAGTCATGACAAAGCATGTACTGTGTCAGATGACAACGTGACAGCCTATAACTGTAGTATGACGGTTATATTTTATTGCTGACTTTAATGTCAATTTCTCAGAATTTCCTCTGCGGAAAAAAATGTAAAGAATGCATGTCAGCACTTTGCTAAAAGAAATTGCTTTAGATCTGATTAATGGTGCACATATTATCGTTATGTTTATGTAATACAAGGTTTACTAGTTATTGACTAAAGATTCTAGACATAGATTAAACACATTGTATGAATAAAAAGCGAAACACTTATTTGATTCATTCATTCACTTGTTGTTCATCAAAGTTTTATTATAATGACAGCTTATAATAGTGATAATATTAACTACTACTACTGTTAGTAGTTGTAGTTTTGTGTGCAACTTTCGATGCTGCAGTTGTTCAGTCTGCTCTAGAAAACTGGTTTCCAAGTTAATTACTGCTGATTTATTTAATCAAAGAAGTCATCACCTGACTAAATAAATGTTGAACAAAAATAAATCTTGGGTATTTTGGAAATTTTGATGAGCTAACACTTGTTTGCCTAACAATATAATGATCAAACAAACATGGAAGAGGCAAAAAAAATAAATTACTCATGAAAACTCGTTGATTTGCACGCTGTTCCCCCCCCCCCCGTACTGTCTACCATATCGATCGGATTCCAAAAACACAGATGACCCACATAGCAAATCCCATTCGGAGAATGACAAAGAATTCTAACCAGAAACAAACAATCATGAGATCAAGGGGGAAAAGGACGGAGTCATAAAAGGCTTGTGTTGTCAGAAGACTGACCCAGCATCCTGTGGTTTAACCACAGCTCGAGGCATTACATAATAAGTTGTTCAGCTTCAGTGGGGGTGGGGGGAGATCCCCTAAATTGCTGTCTCATGTCTGCTGATTGTGGATTAAGGTCAGTGGAATTTATGGAAAAAAGTATTGCAGGGGTCACATGATAACCACAATCGATGGAAAATGTTGTTTCATCCTTGTGATTTCTGGACTCTGGTCCAAAGTTTAACATGAAGTCATGAGAAGGTTGGTGTTAGTTTATGCTGTGGTTCCAGTACAAATACCAGATTCAGTGCACTGGTATGCTTAAAATCAGACTTTCTCACCAACAGTTCCTACTGACACACTAAGGAAGGAATCTGAAAAAAAAAAAATCAGATTGGATATCCACTATGATATTGACGCATGGTTATTGTATCAGGTGTTGATGGACACAATACGTCTTAAGCATGACTGATAGTTGCATGGACTTATGCAGCTGCAGAACATTAAAAACTCACCAGCCACTTTATCAGGTCTTTGTCTAACTGCTTGTTAACAGAAATATCTGGTCAGCAAATAACATGGCAACTAGAGTTCAAACTAAACATCAGAAAGGGAAAGAAAGGTGATTTTAATGGCTTTAAATGGTTGGTGCCAGGCAGACTGGTCCAAGTAAACAAAAAACTATCTCTAGGGTTTATAGAGAATGGTCAGAGGAGACTGAACAAATGGCTTTGAGCTTTTAGGAAGGCAAGAGGCATATCTGATGCTCTTCTGCATACCTGTAACGCAGCAGAAGACCACACCGGGTGCCACTCCATTCACCTAAGAGCAGGAAGCTGAGGCTATCATGAATCCATGAATCCATGGATCCGTCCTGCTTTGTATCAGTGGCTCAGATTGTTGTTGGTGCTGTTATGTTTCTTGGCACAATCTGGCTCCCTTGGTAACAACTGATCATCATTTAAATGCCGCAGTTTATTTTTGATGACCATGTCCACCCCTTTATGACCATCTTCTGGTAGGTGTTCCAACAGGATAATACACCTTGTCACAAAACTTAGAACATCTCAAACTTGTCTGAACATGCACCTTTGGGATGTGGTGCTCACAAATCTGCAGCAATTGTGTGATGCTGTCATGTCAACATGTAATCTGAGGAATGTTTGGAACACCTCCTTGAATGAAAGCCACAAATAAGGCTCCAACCCAGCAACAGCAAGGTTTACCTAACAAAGTGCCTGGTGAGGATAGATATATAGTCATTCCTGTTACAGTTCTTTAAAGTCTGCTGGCTGTGTTGTAGTAAACTGCTACTATGCAGAAGTCCATTTGGAGCCTCATGCCAACCAATAGACCTGCATGGACCATCGCATATACATATACACAGAAACTACGGCATAATTTTAAGTCTTTGTAAGGTCTGAGACATCACACTGACTGAGTTGAAACTGCCGGAGAAACTAGAAACTGTTGCATCACATTATTTCTAAGAGGAAGCACAGGAAGGGCGAAATAAGTTGATGACTCATCGCTCAAGTTTCCTCTTTGTGCTTTACAATTTGCATTATCAGGTACAAAAGGAACAAATGAGAAAGTGCTTTCACTCTTTCAAAATGTCACATTATCATCAAATGCAC